ATTCTATTGTACAGATGTCGTTGTCTAGAGCTACATTAGGTGATGGATCTTCCCTTTTACCAGACTGATCCAGGCCTTTCTGTCAAATCAGACATTTCCCATTCTTTTCTTTTTCTTTTTTGCTTCTAGCCTTGGAATTAAGATTTATTCTCTGCAGATAAAGGTAACTGACTTTTATTTGACATTAACTTGCTCAGCAAGGGGACTGGTAGTGTGGCTGAGACGGTAGCTTCTCTGCTGTGTACTAATTTTGAGCTGCAGTGATAGAAATACCTAGTTTAAAAATCAGAAAATGTATTTTCTTTTTAATGGTAAAGTTTTATTTTCATGTGTTTTTACTTTTATGTTTGAGACAAACATATCAATAACTACTAGAAAATTAGGCTACCTTCTAGTTTAGGTGCAGTAGAATGATAAAGAAAAAATGAATTTTTTTAAAAAAATTTCACAGATTTCTCCTATACTAAATGCTTCATTATCAAATATTAAGGAAAAGCACAAGTGATGCAGTAAATCAAAAATAAGGGACAATTCGTATAAAACCTGCCATATTTTAATTCAGGTTGTTCCAGCAAAATAAATACTTGTCAGTTCACAGTGCCAGTGCTTCTCAGAGGCCACTCCAAGGTCTTCCCTAGCTGGTTAGGACCTAAAGGAAGGAGAGAAGTGGAATCAGAAACGGACATCAAACATTCTACATGTAAGCTTCAGGAGAATAGAAGGCGATCCCAACCGAGTCTGGGAATGCTTTGCCAGTCGCTTATGAAACCTTTCATTTATTTTTATCCCTTTCATAACATGGATTTTATAAAATGGATGCTGAAAAATTACTAGGCCTGACATCCTAACGAGGAATTACTGTTTCCTGATGAATAGCAGATGTTCTTTGTATTTATCTCAAGCATCTGTTTTTCTTCCTTTTTAAGGTTCTTCCTGTACATATAAAGCCTTTCTCTGTTGTCTATAATTGTCTCACATGATGTAAATCACCTTTCTTTCTGATAATCATTTAAATTCGATATTTTTTAATTCTGATGTACATTTTAGAAGATTTCTGTACATGTGCTTTAGACAGAGTTCAACTCTTTTCAAACAACTTGTAGATTAGCAAATACTATATTGTCTGTATCCTGTGACGGTATCTGTCCTTACCCCAATGTAATTATAGATTACAACTAGAAAAAAAACAACAACAGTGCTGTAAGAAAGGGATTGTTCTGTTCAGTCAGAGAGAAAATACAAACTTTTCCTCATGCGACCCTAGAAGTGAATATTTGCGTCATCCCAGGAGGCTGCCCTGTGCCCCAGAAGCCTCCGGCTCCGCACAAGACTTGTGAGCATGTCTGCTTTAAAATGGCACCTGCTGTGTTCTCATAATGAACATTTCATGCAGTGTTCAGTGAGTTCCGGGACAGACCTCACCCAGAGCTCGGAGCTCTAAGTGGTCACCCGTCAGCAGCGTGCTGCATCGCCCGTCTTAGTGAGTAACCTCAGTGGTACGTACGTGTGTCTCACGATTTTATATGTGAGAATGCCCGTTTCTCAGAGTTGCAGTTTTGGCCCACGACTGCCCCTTCGCCGACACACTGAACATTTGCCACGACCTTACAGTGATTCCCTTTGTCCCGTGTGGTTGACTTTTCCCCACCTCTGGCCACAGCAGCTGCTGTGAACAGGGCCCTCCCACTTCCGCGCTGCTTGTACTTTGCACCGGGCAGTTGCAGAGCTCACATCGTTGTTCCTTCTTCCCTCGTGCCGCCCGGGCTGCCCATGGCTAATGTGTGAAAGCGGTCACTTCGTGTCTTTCATCTGAGATTCTGGCTGCTGCCTGTAAAGGCGAGCATATCTCTAGGCTTTCCATCGTGAACAAATCCAAAATTCTGGGTTTTAATGTTCGTTTTCCCCCTGACTATGAGAGAGGAAACATTCCATGTAGCAATTTTGGAAAACGTGATCAGTCATATTTATTTCATTAACAGAATCACTGACTCAGAGTCGGTGCATATCTCTGAAACACATTACAGGAGAGCATCCATTTCTTTGGCCTCGTGTCTCCAGGCAAAGAGATTTTGCTGGAGTAACATTATCGGCTCCTTTCTAGACAGCTTCACTTACTCTGCACAGAGTTCGGAGGCAGGATTGATGGGTGAGTTTGGAGGAGGTGTGCAGAGCCTCGGATCAGCCTTTTTGTAGACTACTTTTAAGTGAATCTGTCTTTTGGTTATCTTATTAGCAGGAGCAGTCAGGGGAGGCCTCCGATTGGCCTCGCCCAGTCCAGGGAGGACATCTGCACAGCAGCATGGCAGCAGACCTGAGCAGTGGCCTCCTGCAGTGGTTTCTGCAGTAGCACTGATGATCGGAATTCTGGTCATCTGGACGCTTATGCTTTAGATCCAGACGTCTCCCCAAAGCTGCCTTGTGTGGGAGGTTATTGGGCTCATGGTCCTGCTGACTGCGCTGCTGTGGGTGGGGTTCGTTAGAGGGACCACTGGTGGGGTGACCTGGAGGGGTGCGTGTGCCTCCCAGCTTCTTCCTGTACCTGGCTTCCTGGCTGCCGCGTGTTGGGCACACTTTCCTCCGCTGGGCCTTCCCCATGCCAGTGCTGTTTCTGCTTTGGAGCTGCTGACAGTGGACTCGACTGTGAGCCAGAGTAACCGTTTTCAGCTCATCATGGCTCTTGCTTCAGTTCTGGTTCCCAGATACCCACACTGGACTCTTCATTCCCACTGCTGAATGGTGGACTCGGCAGGACCACGCCTGCTGATTCAGTGCCACTGGCTCTTCTGGGATTCCGTGTTCTTTTTTTTAGAATGAGAAGACAAGAATGCAAAACAGCACACAGAATGCGAAGAGAGAGAGAGAGAGGAGCACACAAGAGGAGGGCTGGGGAGGGTGAGGGTCACAGCCCCTGTTGGACAGAGGTGGTGGCAACAGCCTTTGTTTGAAAGTGTGTAAAGGCAGGGTTAGGCATAGGCAGAAGAGAAAAAGAACCAGAGACGGAAACAGATGAAAAAACACCAGCATTTGTTGGGTACTAGTAACGATGTTATTAGTTCATTTGAACAAACTACAGGTAGTTTGTTCTTAGGAAAATAGTGCAGATATTCTAAAAGAAAATAGTAAAATGGGAATTTGAATGTGTTGAATTTTTACCTGATTCATATCAAGATACATTTGAAATTAAAACTTTTTTTGTTAATATTAATGTAATTTTCAAGGAAATTATTTGCTATTTTTTGAGTTTAAAGTTTTTTAGTGTTTTGAAGGATTTTTTTTCTCTTTTGATTTAACTTGGTAATTTTCATCTAATTATTGCTTTTATTATTGAAGCTATTTTGAAAACCTTCTGTGTAGTTTACTTGTGAAATGTTTTATACAGTTCAGTCTTGATATATAAAGGTAATCTGTTAGTACTGAATATGAGAATTCTACATTTTTCCAGCCAGTCTCCATATGTATTTTGTGAGTGTGCACATTTGGTGTCTCTCTCTGTCTCCTCGTGTGTTTTATATGGGAGGATATGGGGGTAGCTCTGTATGAGGCTGTTGGCGACCCAATGTCGGTTAAGGGAATACTCTCACAGATTACCAGTCTTGAATATGAGTGTGTGTGTATGTGTCTGAGAACCGTGGAGCCGTGTGCCTGTGCACGATGGATCGGGGTGCCGAGCATTACCGCCCTGTGCCGGGGGTGCCTCCCTCGCTCCCCGTGCTGTGATCTGCGTGTCGCTGACGGATGTGCGTGTCTGTGTACAGATGTCCCTCCCAAGCTGCAGTCCCTCCTTCCGTTGTGCCAGTTACCCACCGTCACCCATTGTCTGAAGATAAATAGCTCCTCATTTTTAGACTGCATCTTGTCTGTGCGGCATGATGAAGTCTCGTGCCGCCTTCCCACATCCTTCCCAGGGTGGGGCTCTGCCCTGTGAGCGCTGCTGCCCTTGTCACGTAGCTGCGTCCACTGTCACAGTGTCGCAGTGCATCCTTGTTCGCTCACAGCAGCTCCTGAGTGCAGGTGACTGGTGCTTTGTCACAGGGCCTTCTGGTCGTTCTGTTGTGTGGGATACTGTTGGTCCCTCACTGGGTCTGATTTATAAATTAAACTATCGCATGTGCTTATGCCTAGGAAAATATGTAAGCCATGCAGGGATTGGCGCATCCGTGGTTCAGCTCTCAGCGGAAGGTCTTGGGATGTATCTTCCATGGGTGACGGGGGTTTACTGTACAGACACGTTGTACAGATCTGTAATGGCAGGAGTCTCATGAGGGCAGTGGCTGTGTCTTGATCATGATAGCCATGTGGGAGGAGCTCTGTATGTTTTCACTGAAATTAATTTTTAATTGATAATAAATTAAGTGAAAATTGTAACTTAAATTGGCAGTGTTCTGCCACCTGCTGCACCCACAAACTCTGCACCTCCCAGGGTGCCAGGCCAGAGCCAGACCTTTGTGTGTGGACCTTGGGCAAGGTCCCAAGTTTGATCCCTGGTACCAAACAAACAAACAGGCAGTATACCAGAGTAGCATACTTTTAATGGTTCAGTAGTATATTTTTTTTCAGAAAAAGGAACGAAATAGTTGACTAAAAGTTTTCCATGCTTATGCTTTCTTTGTGCTTTGAAAGACATGAATAAAATTGCAACTGAACATGCATGGAGAATGAGTATTGTTTATGTAGGTCTGGATAATGCAGTCTCGGGGTTCACACTGTTAAAACAGATCCTAAGTAATGAACCGTGCTGATAAAGGAAGCTTCAAGGACTTGTGGATACAAAGCAACAAGCCATCTTGGGAGCTTTCTGTAATTCAGCATCCATTTTATAAGCTTTTAGTGAATGTGATAAATAGGAACTAACTTACAGAAAATGTGTTTTCCTTTGAAAGTCAGACGCAGCACTTTTCCTGGCGTTTGCACCTTTCTGTATGTTTAGCATCAGTGCCCAGGTTTCCGTGTGCACAGTGTGCTGTATTCTAAAAACATGATGTTTTTGTCCTTCCTCTTAGGGGCTGATCTGAGCGAGCTGTTGTCGTGCCTCACAGTGTCAGAGAAGCAGGCTGAGTGGGCAGAAGACTGCCGAAGACAGCTCTGCACTGCGATGAAGGCCGAGGGTGCCGGCCTCAGCGGAGGTGGTGAGTGCATAGCTTTCCTCGGTGGTGTCTGGGTTTTTTTTTTTTTTTTTTTTTCCTGAA